TGGTTACTTTGAAGTTTCTAGAACTTTGGGCAAGGAAGGGCCACCTGGCAGCATAGGCAGTTTTTAAAGTAACAGGTGGTGCTGGGCTTCGTCCTGCCCATGTATTATTTCCCAGGTGATTGTTGGCATTTCTGAGTGATGAACTCAGAAATGTCTGACTAGGCTGGTTTTGGCATATTCTGCTACATGTAGATTTTAAAAGTGGAGTGTCAGCTGGGTGCTGGTGGCTCACTATAATTCTAGCTACTTGGGAGGCTGAGATTGGGAGGATTGTGGTTTAAGTTCAGCCCAGACAAATACTTCATGAGACCCAACTCCAAAACAGCCAGAGCAAAATGGACTGGAGGTGTGGCTCAATTGACAAGAGTGCCTATTTTGCATGAATGAAGGCCTGAGTTCAAACCCTAGTCCCACAAAAAAATGTCTTTTACAAACAAGCTCAAAGTTAATTATTTTCACTTTCCAATGATAAGAACCGTGGCAGAATAAGGTGGGAAAGAAAGTAAAGTGCGTCTGTTCTTAACTCTGGCACTTCACTGTAAGATGGGGTGAGTTAGTTGTCCTCTCTGTTTTGTTTTGGGTAGCACTGGGGTTTGAACTCAGGGCCTCAAGCTTGCTAGGCAGGTGCTCTATCACTTGAGCTACTCTGCCAGTCCAGTCATCCTCTCTGGTCTTGCTTTCCTAGGCTTGAGAATGAGGGGTTGGATGAAGTGTTCTGTGAGGGTCCCATTTAGGGTTGACCTCTTATCATTCTGTGATAGTGGACATGGCCCCTTGGCTGCATTCAATGCCAGACTGCTTGACACAAGAATCAGATTTGAGATGTAGTTTAAACTCTTCTTGACTTGACTCAGCTGTTAAGTTATATTTTTCTCCTCTAGGTCTTCAGAGACTGCAGAGAAAAGCAGTGAGACAGAGAGATGAATTTTACCCTTATCTTCAATCTACAGTGAACAGCTCCAAGATTTAGATATCTTAAAATCACATGCAAGGCCAGAATGGCCCACTAGTTTTTGGACTTCTCTTTTAGATTTGTAATATTTTAATTACAAAAGTCATTGTCAGCCAGGCACTGGTGGCTCACCCCTGTCATCCTAGCTACTCAGGAGGCAGAGATCAGGAGGATTGGTTTGAAGCCAGCCAGGGCAAACAGTTCATGAGAAAAAAATCCATCATAAAAAAGGGCTGGTGGAGTGACTCAAGGTGTAGGCCCTGAGTTCAAACCCCAGCACCGCAAAAAAAAAAGAAAAAAGAAAAAAGTCATTGGCAGGTTGTAAGGAGGTCAGAGCAGAAGGTTTCTGAACTGTCTTTCCACTGTTTGAAGGCAGGTTTATTGTAAATTCATTGTCCGACTAAGGGACCATTTTTGGTGGTCTGACAATGTTACCTACCTGATCAAACAGATCAGCATGAGGAAACTATTGTCCTTGTGTCCCTTTTCTGTAGCCCTAGATAAGGCTGTAAGAATAGCATGATTCTGGCTCCCTTAGGACAAACTAGAAAAGTAAGAATTATAATTTATCAAGAATTGTATAATTATCAGAGCAATTCACAGTAAAATCAAGTGAAGTAAGTCCTACTACCCACCTTTCATGAATGAATCTGAGGCTCCAAAGGATTGAGACTTGTCCAAATTCACACAAATCTAGTTTTTAAAAGTGGTTATTTTTATTCTTAGCCCCAAATACTGTTTTCAGGTGTCTTGTCCATGCTGACATAGAAGCAAATCTCCACATGTATTTATCCAGAATCAGTAATTCTACCAAGAAGATTTCTATTTTTCATGTTTTTCTATAGCAAAAACAGTCCAGGCCAACAGTTCTTCCATATTCAGAGGGAACTAGCAAATCATGAAAGTTCCTACAGAGCAGCAATCTATATAATTCTATTATATTGTTTAGATTTATTTTTTTCTTTAAAATATTACATATAAGTTAACAAGAGACAAAAGTAACAAAATACTTGTTTCAACATGGGGTTGTTTTATGTGATTATTTTATTTGACTAAAGTTATATAAATTACAATAAAAAGACATTCACCATTATTTATTTGTTGCTCAGAATCTGTGCTTACGATTAAAACTTACACAAGGTCATAGCAGCTGGGTGGAAATTACGATGCCTTGTCACTCACTTCTCCTTCAGATAGTTTGACACCAGATAGTTATAGCCAAAATGTACTTTGTGGATGGAAAACAGCACTTTCCTCTTCAAGAATTATATGGATTCAATTATCTTTCACCTGGCGACACTGAAGGTAATAACTCCTCATTTAAAATCTTTCCACCCAGAACTTTTTCTCTGTCCCAACACCAGTGTCTCGTGACAGATGGAGGCCACAGCCACCTGCACAGCTGCACAGCTTTTATCAGCTGAAAGAAAATGCTTTGAAAAAGGGTCTGGCCTAGCTGTGAAGTTGGAATGACTGGTTTTATTTACTTTCCAGTGGTAAACTATCTACTTTAGATTCGAGCGAATTAGAGAGTTATTTGCTTTGTTTGCTGACATCAGAAGCGCAGAGAATTGGAGGGTGCTTTAAAGCAACTTTGGTTATAAGTGAGAGTGTGAACTGCTAAAACAGTGTCTTGACATAACATTAGATTGTGCATTCTCTTTTATCAGTGAGCCTGAAACTTTTAAAAAATCAAGTAAAAATCTGTTTGCGGGAAAGAATAAATCAAATCTTAATTCCTTTTATTCTAAAGACAAACTGTCAGATTATAAAATTCCCCACTGTCATTAAACACTGATCAAATTAACTTGTTTTTATATTAACTGTACCATTGCAAAAAAAGAAAAAAATCAGGGCTGGCGGAATGACTCAAGCCCTAAGAGCACCTGCTTAGCAAGTGTGAGGCCCTGAGTTCAAACCCCAGGGCCATCAAAAAAAAAAAAATCAGTATGAGATTCTCTAATGGTAACCATGATTCCCTGCCCACAATTAAGAGAACCAAAGAACCAGGGTCAGTGGTGCCTGCCTATAGTGCCAGCTGCGAGGGAGACTAAGCAGGAGGACCACTTGAGACCAGGAGTCCCAGGCCACCATGAGCAACAAAGCGAGACCCTAACTCCCCCCATACCCCCAAAAGCTAAGACTGCTCAGATACCAAAATTGGGTCTTCTAGAACATTTTCTTAAAAGGAACATGTGTTTATTCAATAACTGAACTCTTTTACTTGCTTTATATACATTAGTATTTTATATTTCCACTGACATTATTACCATGAAATTGTGTCCATATCCACGTCTACTGTCTTTAGAAACAGCAACACTCATTTAAATACTTTAAAAGAACACTATTATTTATTAGATACAATGATCAAAATGAAACTCATTACAAAACAGGAATCTAAGAAGAGTATTTTCTAAAAGCAGTGGTGACATGAATCTAATTAAAAAGTATACATGTGTGAAGTTTCAAAACCCATTCTCTTGAGAACTTGACAATAACAAACACATCACTAACAGCTGCCTGGGTATTTTCAGGGGATGTAGAGATTTAAATATTTAAATCTGCACACCCCCTAGGTTTACAAATGCGTCTATTAATATAGTATAAACAGGATTCAGAGTCACTGAGGATGGACGTGAGCCCAGAGAAAAGGCTTCAGAACATACAAACAAGTTGGGGCAGATTGCTGACCGATCTTTTGTAAGAGTTTTCTAGCTTCTCTTTCTAGGGCGCAGTGAATTTTACAGGTGATTCTGTATTCTCAGTGACTATACCCAGAGCTCAGTGTTAGGTGGAAAGATGACTGAAGAATCAAGATGGCCAAAAATATGCATGTTTTAGTGCATTTAGGAGCAAATTAAACTGGATCCTTTTCCTGATACCCAAGGGGACGAGATCATCCTTTAAAACTGTTTGGGAAAGACAGCTCCAACTGCTTTTGCGGAGGCCCACTTCATTTTATGCTGTTCTCAGTCTTCCCCTCTGCCAACAACTCAGATCATATCAAAGGCCACTCCTTAAAACAAAACAGATTCTGGAGAGTAAGCCCTTCAAGAAACAGGCTCACTTTGTATTTCAGATCCACATTTTCTGGAAAGGGCTAGATAGTAATGTTTTGGATTTATAGAGCCACACAGTGTCTATTGCAACTACTAAACTCTGCTGTTGAACAAAAGTAGTCATGAGCTATAATACATAAACACATGAATATGACATGTTCCAATAAAATTTTATTTACAAACAGGTGAGGGGCTGGCTTTGGCTGTTTAGCCATGGTTTGCTCACCCTTGTTCTAGATAACCACAAATGGTACCTCTTCTGAAAACTGAAAAGTGCTTCTTATGATTCTAGCCAGATTAATGTCCACTCACTCAGTATTCAGAACCCTGAGAGTGATCCACAGTTATGGTAGAAGCAGCCAAAGTGATCTGAGGGCTCAGGTTCATGATCTTCAGCACAAATCAACATGTTTAGACATTGACAGGAACCTGAAAGAGCTCGATTCTGTATCATTCAACAGAAACCTGAGCCTACTACTGTTCCTGGATTTTGTTAATCTTAGAGTTGCAATCAGGAGCTGAGGACAATGGCCATTCTGTGGTAGCATTCAGAGAAAAGCAGTAAATTATTGATAATGTGGCACTTTAGATGCCTTAAAGGATCAGTGAGCCTTCCCAAGGTCCCAAATATAAGTCAGCACTGAGAAATTCACTGCTCAAGCAACAGGGACTGTCAACTACAAGGAAGATTTTCTCACATGTGACTAGCCCCCCGATCCCCCCAAACAAAGCAATATATATATATATATATATATATAAAATACGTTATATATGTTATACGTTATAAGAATAGTAACAACTAAGAATTTCATAATTTCCTACAGGTAGAGGGACTCTTACCATTCAATTTAGCCAGCTGTTTCACATCACCAATGTGGAAACCAAGCCCCAAGAAAGGAGAGCTAACTTGCCCAGAGAGTTTGTGGAGGAATCACCAAGACAAGTTTTCTGTGGAGATAGAAAGGGCCTCAGAAAACACATGGAAAGTACTGAGGGGAACAGAGAGGAGGGCATCACTGGTTTAATGTAGTTGACAGAAAGTGCACAGGATAAAGCATTAGATGGCCATCTTCCCAGGAATACAAATGCTGATCCCTCATGTTGTATGATAACATGGCAAGAACAGACTGGGAAGTTCTTAAATCAAAGTTGGCGTTGATCTGTTTCCCTCCTAACAAATCAAAGGCAAATGTGATCCTCACATCTTTGGTGTCTGTGACATAGAGGATTCCCTGAGCTATGAAGGCATTGCCAGCCTTGGATTTGGGGTACGTGGTGTTGACGTGCTGCAACACAGAGAATGTCCTCTCATCCAGCTGTGCTACAAGAATGCTTGAGCCATCCACACTTGAAGCATAGATAATCCAAAGCCCCTTTTCATCTACAGCCAGGTTGAAATAAGTCTTGGAATTTGCAAAAAGGTATTTGCGATCAAAATACAAGGCGTTTTCAAGCTTCAGAGTTTGGGATGTTTCTTTGCCAAATTCAAATCTGAAACATAAAAAAGAATAGAGATGAGTTAGAATTTTGTGAACAGCAGGAGTTTTCTAGGCTCCTTAATAATGTGAATTAGTAGTTCTGGGGTGAGGTCTGGTGCTCTGCACTGCTGCCAAGATCCAAGGAGTCCCTACTCTACTGGTCTTTCCAAAGAGCTATGAGTAGCAAGGCCCTGAAGAACAGTGGTGGCAGAAGAAACAGGAGGCAGCAGTGTAGTGTGAAGGACCAGTGGGTGTTAGAATGAACTTGGATCTAAGCAACTGCTCACTAACCATGTGAGCCTGGGAAAATGAACCCCACTCATCCTTCCGCATGTTGGACCAACTGCATGACCTCTCAAAGGTCCAGATCTTTCCTTTGACATTTGAAAAGGAAGTGGCCAGTTCCTGATACAAATAGCAGAGCCAGAGTTTGAACTTAGGTTTCCTAACTCCAACTTTTGTCAGTTATTCTTTTATTGCATGTTGGGATTTTAAGAAAAAATAAACCAAACTCACAGTATTTCAAATTAAGGAAAAAGTTACCAGCCTAGAAGAAAAGTAGCAAAGTTAGGGCTGAGTAGACAATTTTCTTGTCAGGTAGGCGGTTAAAACTATGGTGTTGAATTCCATCACCTTAGCTCCTGGGGGCTGCCTGACTTGGCAGATTCCAACCACAGATGGCATCCAAAAAGTGAATTATGATTCAAAAACTACCTAAATCCAGGAATGACAATTCAGTGATGTTAGGCTAAAAGCAGACACCAGAGGATGCTATTGAGCAGCAGAGGAAAAGTGGAACGAATGACTCTGAGGCAGAGCATTTGAGCACAGACCTAAAGTTGATTAAGAAAACTTGAAATGAATCTGAACAGAAACTAGAGAAGAATGAGGACTCGGGAAGCGCCCTGGCCATCTCAGGTCACAGGAGTTCCCCTTCCTCTGAGTGCTGCTGTGAGCTATGAGCACCTGGTGGCTGCATTTCTTGTGAGGCTTATCTCTCCCAGAAAGAGCAGGCCCTGATCCAGCCTCCCAGCCTGTGGCATGGCACGGAGCAGGCCTCTTGACTGGTCCCCTAACCAGCTAGCAAAGTTGAGCTTCCATAGAAGACAAACTTCCTTAAAGAGGCCAATCTTCATTCTGAGACTCCTTCACCCCAAAACTCCCCTAGTATGCCACCCCTGCACCAATGGCAGCCCAGAGCCCCAGTTTAGATGAGAAGCATCAGGCAGGAGTGTGTCTTGTGAGGTGAATCAGTTGTCCCTTTTCCACCAGCATGAGACTCTGCCCAAGTGGAGTGACAGGGAAGACAAAGGAGAGGGGACTTCCTGCCACAGCTGACACCTGAGTCTTATGTCGTAGATCCAACTGCAAGCTAACCTGAGCTCTCAAATGCCAAAATGATTGTTAGGTAGGAAGAAGATGAGAAAGAAGGGGCCCAGTCCCTCCTCAAGGTCATTGTCTTGAATGACTAGGAGCATGGTAGTCTTAATACTGGGATTATGTTTCACATGGGGGTAGAGCTGGAAGGAGGCAGAGGATATATTTCACTCTTTATTGAGGTGAGGCCACAGAGTCCATTATCTGTCTTATCAAGGAATAGGTGCAAGAGTTGGAACCAGAAACCAGGTGTCCTGACTTTCTGTTCATTGCTCTCTTGATTCGCCCAAGATGACCTGCTTCTACCTCTAAAGCTCAGAGCTTTATTTCTTCTTGAACCATAAAGATAAAACTTTAACAATTCTTGTGGGGTGGCAGGAAGACTCAGGTATCTGCCGAGGTAGCTCCCTCCCTTCTCCTGGGGAAAGCAAAGGAGAAGGCGAGCTGGTCCCCAGGTCGGCTCCATCAGAATGATAGGTTAACCAGAAGGTAAAGACACCTGACTTTGGGTTACAGTCCTAGTCTTCAATGATCTCAGTTGTGACATGAAATTTCTTACACCCCAGTTTCTTCAAAACAAAACTGATATCAGAGCCAGGCATGATGCTGTAATCTCAGCACTCAGGAGGCTGAGGAAGGTGGATGGAAAGTTCCAGGCTAGTCTAGGCTACATGGTGAGATCTTGTCTCAAAAGAAACAAAAAAACAAAACAAAGCAAAACTCAGATATCAAGGAGTACCACCTTGCAATCAGAGGGAGCTCTGGGTTCTCTTTCTTTTCTCACAGGGTGAGTAAGCTGGAGCTCTCAGCGTTCATGTGTCCACCTGCTTGCCTCTGACCTTCCCTCACAGTGTTCAGATCCCAGGAAGGGGCTGGGCATGAGATCTCTCCCTGTCTCCTGCCATTCATTTGGTCAACAAACCTTGGTTAACTTCCAACTATGTGTCAGCCTTGGAGACAGAAAGATGGCAGAAACACAGTCCCCACTCTTAAGTGGCTTAGGAGGGTACCACATAGTAGGCACTGTCCGGGATGTGAGAAAGGGGCTGTGGGACATGGGGAGGGTGGTCCAGGTGGCTCACCTCACTATGGTGTTGGAGCCCCCTTTGTGGTAGTAGAGACAGTCATTGTAAACAGCATGCCCACAGCCATGGAAGTAATGCGGGAGGTGGATGAGTCTATAACTGCCGTTCAGAAGCGCAGGCTGGTCTTTGAATTCCTTCACCATGATGCCTGCAGGAGGGAAGGCAGGGGAAGGTGGTTACCTGCTGCCAGCAGTCCCTTTTGGACAGTGAGTCAGGGAGGAAGGTGACAGGAGGGAACTTGAGAGTGAGATCTTCCTTCCCTGAGGTCCCTTGTCCAGTGCGAAGAGCCGGAGACTCCCAGACTTAAAGTCTGGTCCACCCTATGGGTTCCTGAAAAGTCTTCTGGACATGGTCATTGCAGCTTTTGCTCCTCCTGAGAGAATACATGCCTCCCTCCATAGTGTTTATAAAACCTTTGAGCAGCGTGGGTCTATACCACGAACAGCAAACACTTGGCACTGTGAAGCAGCTCTCTCTGTCCCCAACCCCTTCCCGCACTGTGGCGGCCAATGCGGATGTTCGGCATGAGCGCCAGGTTCTTCTCAGCTGGTAATCTGGGCGGTTACTACCAGCTGACCAGTTAGCCCTGGTGAAATCAAAACACTGTTTCTTCTCAGCAACTTTGCCAAGCAGTGCAAATGGCCTGACCCCTTACTGGAAGGAGAAATGTTGTAACCACCATAGGCAATCTCTGATCCCAGCTCTTTGCAGGGTGACTGCAAGGTGGCCCTTTGCCTTCTTGTGCAGCAGATCCCCAAGGAAGATGGTGCCCACTGTAGACAGACAGTGCACAAATAATTTATCTCTAACACCCCTTCTCAATTGTGGCCTTGGGATTCTTAAGGCCTCAGTCATCATGCTTTTTGTTTGCTGCTGGGTATTTTCCCTAAAATTGAATAGGCTACATTGTCCTGCTTATGTCCCCGTGACCTGAACTACAAGATTTGTCACCAATATGCTCAAAGGAGGAAAGGATTCTGCCTCCACTTTTATGCTTTCTAAAATTAGGGGCAAGTGGCTGGGCCCAGTGGCTCATGCCTATAATCCTAGCTACTCAGGAGCTAGACACTGGTTTGAGGTCAGACCCTATGTCGACCAATGGCTGGGCACAGTGGGGCGTACCTGTCATCCCAGCTACATGATCAAGCATAAATAGTAGGATTGCAGTGCAGGCTAGCCTGGGCATAAAGATAATCAATGCAAAGAATCAATGCAAAAAGGACTGGTAAAACGGCTCAAGTGGTAGAGTGCCTGCCTAGCAAGCATGAGTTATGAGTTATGAGGGCGTGAGTTCAACCCTTAGTATTGCCAAAGTAAAACAAATAAAGAGCAACATAGTATACCAGTAATAGCGAGGATTTCAGACACAGAAAAAAGTCTGAAGGTGGGCAACAGATGGAAAATACAATTAATTACCAGGCACATTTGGATCTTCTGTTGAGTGAAAGTACCTGAAAAATGTTCTGTCACCCAAATCCGGTCATCACTCTTGTTAGCAGCAGACTCTCTTATCCAAGTTCCGAATGTCTCTCTAACTTTTAGTACTTGTGTTGGGTTTCCAATGGAAGTGATCATGGATTCTGCCAAAAGAAGAGAAAGGAAAGTTACTTACCTGGCAATTCTAATTTTAAGGCATCCAATGTATGAATTTCAAAACAGGTTTTTTGTGAGGGGTGGGGGGTTGGAAATGAAACCCAGCTCTACCATTGAGCTACACTTCCCCCCCAGCATGCTTTGCTTCTGTACCTGCTTGTGGGGAACGGTGCTCACTGACTTTCTCATCAGCTTTTCCCACCAGGGTATCATCATTTGGTATGGTACATGTCTCACCTAGAACAACAACAGTAATAATAAAGCAAATTACAGTTGGCACAGTGAGATCGTTTAGCTTTATAACTATATCCCCACCTCATTCTAGGCCACATCCCATAAGCATCCCTGTCACTTGTCCACTAGATTTCATGGCTGCTTGCTTTGAACAACCATAGTTATGCTTCCAATTCCACCCCACCCCCATGACTGCTGTCCCATGACCATATGTTAGTTGTTATGACAATGCAATTCTAAGAGGATGTCAGCATCTTATTCTGTTTTGTACTGCCACAAAAGAACACCACAGGTTGGGGAATTTATCATCAACACTGCTCTGGAGACTGCGAAGTTCAAGATGGAGGGGCTGGATCTGGTGAGAGCCTTCTTGCTCGTCATACGTGGTAGAAAGCATCACATGATGACAGAGAGTGGGAAGGGACTAAAGTCCTCCTTTATAAAGAACTCTCTCCAGTGATAGAGGCGTAATCCATTCAGAAGGGCAGAGCCTTTGTGACCTAATTACCCTTTAAGGATCCCACTTTTCAATGCTATTTCCAATATATGACTTTGGGGTACATGTTAAAACCAGAGTGGTCAGTGATGGTGAAAAAGGGCCCGAGCCAGCTCATTAGGCCCTCTGCAGTTTGAGGAAAGAGGCTTTTTCAGCCTCCTGCCTCTCTGTTGGGCAGCACCTCTCTCAGAGTGGAAGGATTTTTGCTTTTAGGAGAGTGGGTTGGGAAAGGTAAAGGAGCAGCCTCCCAGATGGAGTGGCTCACATGACCATGTCTTCCTGGGAGAGCCTCAAAGGAGGAAGGAACCTACAGGTAGCCTGGCCCAGAGACATCGGAAGGCCCTCGAACTGTTTTCCCACCTATGTTCCTCTGCTTGAAGACCTTTAGGGACACAGGACTTTGACAGGTGTCAAAGTTATTCATCCTCCTTGCTTCATCAAAGGTCCCCTCTAACAAGTGAGCTGAACGTGGGCCTTTAGTGAAGAGGTGTGTTAATGTGACAAAAGCAAGGCAGGTGAAGGGGAGAAATGTGCTCAGTGGGAAGGTGATGATGGGCAGGGCCTTGGGTTGGAGGTAGGGACTGTGGGCTGGGGTAGATTGGGCAAAGCCAGGCCCACTCACCTAGACAATCCTAGCCGGACAGAACAGGCAGCCCCTCCATTGTCATTAGGGGAGCTCACAGAATGGTCTGAAGGGGTTTCTTGGTCAGTAACACAGAGGGGCCAGGTACTACATGATAGCTAAGCTTGTTTCTAGCTGGATGAGCCTGGGTTTCTCTGAAGTCCTCTGTCACCCAAGGAGAGCAGTCTCGGACTTTTTCACCCCCAACATTTGCAATCTTGCGGTCTCTGGCTTACATCTGGAATTTCCACTTGGGACTTTAAAGGGTGTTAAAGAAATGGAACAGGAGCAGGAGAAAGGGCCAAGTTCAGATGCAAATGCCTGACAACCACCGACTCATTTCTAGGAGGCAGAGTAATGGCCTCTCATTTAAAGCAGTTTTCACAATTCTGCGCCCAAGCCCTGCCAACCAGTCTCTTGGAAGAAAGGCTAAGCAGAGGAGAATGTTTCTCCAGGTCTAACTGTTGACCATCAGAGCTAACTAAGCCTTTGGCAAATTAGAATTCTGCAAACACTCAGGTTAGACCCATGAAGGTCCCTGCTCTGCTCATTCTAGAGAAGCCGAATAAAGGGCTGATGCTAAGGGATGGGGTGGTGTTGACCCCAAGGAAGGAGCCAGACTGTCTCTTGCTAACTGCCAGACAGAATCATTCTTAAATCCATCTACTGGGGAGAGAGGAGGTGACATCTTTAAAAGCACAGACTCACTCACTCTGACACAGTGCCCCATATACAATACAGACTGTTAGGAAAGGCTGAGAGGAGCCCCAGTCAGGATCTTCCTCAAAATCTTTTGCTGAAGTGAAGTCATCAAGCTGTGCCCCTCCTGGTCTAAGTGAACTGACATGTCTGGGGTCACCACTCTTGGGTGACTAACACCACCCCAGAAATCTTCTCCATGAATATGATTCTTGATTTCTAATTAATGGTCAAACCTGCGGCTACCTGGGTCACAAATTGGCTGAAGAAAGTTCTTTAGGCCTGCTGGAGGTCAGGCATTCCCTGCCCTTGGATGGCCTGACTTGGGTCCCAAAGTGTAACTTTTTATCTCTGACAGGATGATGATCTGAGAGCCAGGGCTTCCCAGCAAGTCAGGTCTAGATTGAATCCCAGCACTGCTACCTACTAACTGAGCGACCTTGGGAAAGTGACAAAGCTTTCTGTAAGTTGAAGACAACACAGGATAGTTGTGAGAAACAAAAGAACTAAGCACACGTGTGGCTTATTATCAACACTCAAAAACTAGTGGTGTAGCTCAGTGGTAGAGTGCCTGCTCAGCATGTGCAATGCTTGGGTTTGATCCCTACACCAAGACACTACACACACACACACACACACACACACACACACACACACACACACACTAGTGGTGGTGATGGTGGTACTGTAGTTACTACCTATGGGGAGTTAACCAATCTGAGTGCATCACAATCTCTGGTGCGCATCTGTCAAGCCCTTCACGCTCCTGCTGCAAACGTTTACAACTTAATGACCAAGACTACTCCAGGGGAGAGGGAGAATGGAAATGTCTGGAGGAGGAATAGTCTGGTGGTAAGTGACAGGCGAGGGAGGAGGGAAAGGAGTGAGTTCAAGTTCGGCTGCCCCCAGTCCTCATCCTCAGGAACAAGCACTGACCCTCCCCTTAGCCTGTTGTAAGAGGAACTCTCATTGGAGCAAAATCCCCTCCTGTTTCTCAGAATTTGTTTGCAGAGCCTGGGGGCATCATTAGCGCAAGAGGCAGGTTTCCTGGGGCAGGGGCTGGTGACCTGCACACTGGCCATTGAACATGTTTGGCTGCCGAGGGCCTTTGGATCTTCTGCCTCCAGGGGGCCCTGGAGGGCCTGGAGGGCCTGGAGGGCCAGGGGGTCCAGGTGGGCCAGGTGGGCCTTGGTCACCTTTGGCACCTGGAGGGAGAGAAAGAGAGAGAGAGAGAGAGAGGGAGAAATTGGTAAATTGCTATCCACAAAGACTGACTTTCCCATGACAGAAAGGACAAGCGAGCAGATCCAGAGGCCCCACTGAGCTCCCCCCTTACCCAGAGGCAACTTACCTTAGCATTTGTCTCTACTGAGTTGAGGAGCTGCTGTGCGGGGTACTGAGGACCCACTATGTGCCCGGATCTGTGCTACAAGTTTTACAAATGTGCCCCGAGTTCTTCCAAACCACTCTGTGAGGAGTAGGAGGGTCCATCCTCCCTCCCCCCAGACAGTCTTGGGAAGTAAAGCAGTTGGCCCAGGCTCACAAGATGAGTGGAGCGGGAAGTGAACTTCAGCGGGCCTCCCTGCTTAACCTGGACTGCTTCACAGAACCACTAAGGAGCCTTGGTAGCTTCTAACGCCTGGCCCCATCCCAGACCAGTCACAATGCTTGTGGGGAAGTTGGTCACCCATACGTTTTAAACCCTTCTTATATGCAGCCAGGAAGGAGAAGTATTGCTCCATGCAGTGGAACAATCACAAGCTCTTTGGACTCTTCTCTGTTCAGCTTTGTGACCTTAGCAGAGAACTTGACTCTTCTGAGGCCTGTTTCTTCATCTCCACATTGAGTCTCACAACCCTCACTCTGCCCTGTGAGAACCTATGAGGTCACTGCTGTGAGTGCTCCAATAGCAGCCACTCCTCTAACTTAGGAGGCCAACGTGGGTGCCACCCTTTGCAGGGATGTTGTGCTGAAGCCTTCTTTCATGAAGATGCCACTCTCAGTCAGGTACCAGTGGCTCATGCCTGTAATCCTAGCTACTTGGGACACTAAGATCAGGAGGATCTTGGTTTGAGGCCAGCCCAGGCTAATAATTAGTGAGATCCCATCTCCAAAATAACCAGAGCAAAATGGACTGGAGGCATGGCTCAAGGGGGAAAGCTTTGCAAGTGCGATGCCTTGAGATTAAATCCCAGTTCCACCAAAAAAAAGAAAAAAAAAAAAAGCCAGCCTCAAAGGGATGTTCATCCCTTTGGTTTTACCATTCTGGGCAGAGACTGGTGAGCTAAGGTCTTGTCAGCTGCCTCTTCCCAGCAAGACCAAGTACACCTTCCAGTCCCTCTAGAATGGGCAAGTGTGTGTGTGGTGGGGGGAGACCACAGAAGCTGCAGATGGGACTACATCTACTCTGGATAGGGTAGAGATCTGGAGGCAGGACAGACAATGTGCTACCTCTAGACCCCTTCTCCTTTCTCCCAGAGGAAACATTCATTTCTGGCTTAGTCTCTGGTGCTTTTCTGAATGGGTTCTCAGCACCCCTAGTCTGCTTAGCAGTGTAGGGGAACTCAGGGCTCTGGATGTGTAGGTTTCCTGTGTAACTGAAGTGAGACAGTATCTTCACCTATATGTATATTGCCTGCCAAAGCACTTCTTAGATTTTACAGAGTCTGCGTAGCAATGTCCCATTTACAAAACAAAGTATGCTACACATAATTTGATCTTTCCTTGGTGTTTTGGGCTTAGCACAGTGCCAGGAAAAGAAGAGGTACTCAATCCATCTTGAACTGGGAGATTGGCAGTTGGAAGGGAGACTGATTAGAGTCATTATTTTGAACTTCTATTATCATCCTAGCTTCTGGTGAGCTGACACTATATATACCTCCCTCATTTTCATATTTACACTTCCAGCTACTGGCAAAGTTCCTGATTTATAAAATGGTGTTCTTGGGTATCCAATAAATGTTTATTGATCACATTGATTGGATAGTTATGTTTTCATGATATAGATGGTTTCCAAAGCACTGTGATTTTTAAATTCTTCTGCATCCTCCTTCTCCATGACAAGGAGCTGTCACCTACTTTTCCTGACACGTGATTGTCGGGATGGCTGCTGCCCCACAACCTCCTACCCCACAAACATCAACTATCTGCTGTTTCTCTGTACTGGAAAGACAGCCACTGAATTTCCCCCAATTCTAAGTCCAATGGCTTAGGATCCAGGGCTTAAAATGACTCTACCTTGACTGAGAAGTAAATGTTGTGCCTTTGGTCAGTTGTCCTCTGAGACATCTTACGTGGCTTCCTTACTTGTCCTGTTCTGGGTTATGCTGGATTTCAAGAGACATCTGGACAAGGGAGCTTCCATGATCTTGTTCAATCCAACCCTGGCTTTTGGACCTGACTTACTTGAACGACTCATGCTACATTCAGATCTGGTCTTGCCTAGATGGAGAAACATTAACTAACAGCCTTCTCTCCTCTACATGTACAAAATTCCAGAACATGCTGCAAAATAGATGACCACAGAAGTCCAATAAAGAGAGAAGACACAGAATAGCTCTTGGTCTGAAAAACGGGCAGATCTGTGGCCCACAGACCCTGGAAGAGAGCCGAGACTTCCTACCTGATGGAAGCACGTCATTGGACACGTCTCCTTTGTCTCCCTTTTCACCCTTCTGTCCTGGTGGGCCCTCGTTTCCAGGTGAACCAAGTTCACCAGGGTCTCCCTTTTCTCCCTTCTCCCCTGGATTTCCTGTGGCTCCCGGTATCCCTGAGAAGAAAATAACATATTAGCCTGCTGTGCAAGAAATCCTGATAGAGCACTTAGCACGTTATCCTTCACTACCATTTTAGAGTGGCAAGATGGCTATCCATTCATTAAAGAATAGTGTTTGAAAATGATTAAAAAAAATTAAAAAGAATAGTGTTTGCAGGGCTGAGGATATGGCTGAGTAGTAGAGCGCCAGCATAGCGTGCACAAAGCCCTGGGTTCAATCTCCACTACTGCCAAAAAAAGTACTCCCGTAAGAGGTGCTTAAACTGCTCTTGCTGAAAAGCACTGACTCCTTACTTGGGCACACAAATTAACTAAAAACAGGAGGAAAGCTTGGCATCTCTGTCTCCATCTTGTTTCTGCCCTGAGTCATTCTCTCCCGCAGCCACCTTGGAATCAAGGAAGGATAAAAATGGTTGATAATATCTTTATGACAAGGGACTGAAACTTCCCCTAGGGAATAGCCTTGCAGACAATTACCTATAATTACCTATAATGATAAGGCTGCACCCTGAAGCAGGAGTAATCATGTCTTAGGAATCAGATCGCTCTTCTCCGGAACCCTTCTTAGAGACCTCGGATTGAGATAATGGTCAACCAGAACACACCTGTGACTAGGACTGTTCATGCGTACCTCATCCCCTGCCCCCAGTTCTTTGTCTACTTAAACCTATAGCTTATGTCTGTACTCTGAAGATGGCTAAAGATGGGTTTAGTGCTTATTTTGCCTCTTCCCACGGCATGTCCTAAAGCGTGTGATAAATTTCCTTATTGTGCCCTTCACCAAACCTCTTTATTTGGCATATAGGGGTGAGTTGCTGGACTTGGCATGTGAAATCCCAGGATTTTGGGCCTTGGGTCCAAAAGTCCAGTTTCATTACCAGGTGGACTGTTTTTAGAGAAATTTGGTTGGGCCAGCAGGTAGGAGAGGGAAGAAGAGGAGGAAAGCCCTATCCCCACATAGGATGTCCGTGACCTCAGAGGGATAACAGTATTATCTTTATTCTTTAGCTCATTTCTCACAGCATATTGGAGTGCTGGGTGTATAGTCACCCTTACTTTCATTTTATCAAAGATGGAACCAGTCCTACAGTGATTATAACTGATGCTAAGCCAATAGCCAAGGGCCTTTGATTCCGTCTCCACAGCCCACTCCTGTGACGTTCCAATCAAAGGCTGTTAATCACGATAGCAAAGCATGTGAAGCTGCTTTAGAACAACCATAAATAGGGATGGTGATGGTGTGAACAAAAGATAGTGGGTAAAATTTCTGCTTCTGTTTGTGGGGAGCCGTGACTACAGGGATTGCCCTCTGTCCTCCCTCAGACAGCTAGAAATTAGAGAAGATCAGAGGGACAGTGCCTCAGCCTGGACTGTGGGCAGGGCAGGGCATCCAAGATTGTCTCAGCTTTCTGCAAGGAGGTGGTTCCCAGCAGCATGGCAATGGGGCCCCAAACAGAGACCAGCAAACTCTGAGTTGAGGAGCCAAAAATCAGTACAGGGAGATGGAGGTGCTAGAATATGTGAGATAGAATAGCAGAGAGGACAGAGCTGTTCAGTATAAAAGGAAAAGGAAAATTACAGTAAAAGCCTTGGAAGATGATGTTGTCTGGAAGCTTATGCATAATTCTACCTGCTGCCTTCAAGTGGAACTTTTGTCCCTCCACCCTTTAATCTGAAGGCATCTAGAACAATGAGAAAGGAGAGTTACATTGTGCCCAGATGCTGATGATACCTACCAAGAGGTCATGGGATTCTTACCTCATGGACATTACCATTCTGTTTATACATTCCTTTCTTTCTCTTCCATTAGTCTCAACACTCAATAAGTTGCCACCTTTCCCACCTTCCTCAGAAATGCAATTCGGATATGGCTGAACCCATGTATTCCAAATAAAAATCTTTTTACTTTTGCAGTTTCTGAGTTTTCATTGATTGACAGTAGAAAGAACCCCAGAGACTCCCATGAGGCTTTCCTCTCCACAGTACTGGGGTTTGAACTCAGGGCCTCATGCTTGCTAGGCAGGCCACCCTACCACTTGAGCCACTCTGCCGGGCCTTTTTTTGTTGTTGTTGTTTATTTATTTATTTATTGGTAGCACTGGGGTCGGGCTTTTTTTTTGTGTTGAGTATTTTTGAGACAGGGTCTGGCTTTTTGCCTGGGCTGGCCTTGAACCATGATCCTCCTGATCGCTGCTTCCTGAGTAACTAGGATTACAGGTGTAAACCACAATCAACAGTACAGACTCTAAAATTTGAATCATTCAGTCAATTAATTCATAAAATAAACAATTTAAGCAAGAAAAATCATATCATCTCAATTGATGCAGAAAAGACATTTGATACAATTCAACATCATTTTTAATCAAAATTCTCATCAAAATAGGAATAAAGGGAATTGCCTCAATTTGACAAAGGTATCTGAAAAACCTACAACTAGTCTCATCCTTACCAGTGAAGGAATAAATGCTTTCCCACACATCAGAAACAAGACAAGTGTGTCTATGCTCATCAATTTGTTTAATATTCTACTAGAGGTAGAATGCAATAAAGCAGAGGAAAAAATAGAGGGCATATTGATTGGAAAGGATGAATTAAAACTACTCTTACTTATAAATGATTGTTGTTGTAGAAATTTCAAGAACTGTATAAAAAAGCTACCAGAACTTACGAGTACATAGGAATCTCAGGGCTCTGAGAGGGAAGTGGTTGCCTAATATTGTACAAAGACATTGCTAGCTATGGATCAGCCTACCATGATACCCATCCCAGGGAATATTTGTTCACGTTGATAAGAATCTGATGAAGACATCGCTTAACGGTGAAACTGCTCAAAAGGACAGAGATTGCAGGATAAAGGAAGAGCCTGAGACATATAAGCAAAACTGCAGAACCTCTTGAGTGCTGGGGTACCACAACACCCAACTTCTCCCTCCAAATTTAAAACCATATCTGGACCACCCTATCTATCTCTTGCCAGTTCTCCTAGAATCCAACATAGTCATCCAAAGAGAATCCCAGAATTCCAGATGGGAAGGTACTTTATGGGTCACTTAGAACAACCTGCCATCCAGTCCTAGAGTTCTATGCTATCTGGTTAGCTCATCTCAAGCCCTTTCTGTGATGGGGAGGGTGTCACCTAGAACACATCATAGTTCATACTCAATACTGTACTTCCATCAAGGTCAATTATTCCTTAAGATATAAATCTGGAGCTCTTAGAACCTTGCATTTACTCCAGGAGAGTTATAAATACTCCAGGAGAGTGGGTTTTGCTCTTCCACATTCAAAGAACCATCTACAGACCATCCTAAGAAAGACAACAATGTCTAAAAACCCCACAAGGTATTAATCACTGTTAGAAAGTACAGTGAACAGGGCTGAAAGCATGGCTCAAATGGTAGAGTGTCTAACTAGCAAGCACCAGGTCCTGAGTTCTAACCCCATACCTCCAGAAAAAAGGTGAACAGCTAGGGTTGTGTCTCAGTGGCAAAGAGCTAGCATAATTGCCCATTAAATAATAACACAACAAGGATAACAACTTAGTGAAAAGCATGACATTCTATAACCTAAGTCCTTGTGGAGACACCCTTCACAACAGCACTGCAAACTCCTGCTCCCCGTGATCCCTACCCATGGACACCAGGTCATCTGGCTGGAAAGTGACTCACTCGTTTGACAAGAGCCCTTATGCAACGCTTTCTGTATGTGAAGATGTTTCTTTGTCAATATTTTAAACGGGCAGTTTGGCGCATTATCGGGAGGAGACAAAAGACTAGATTGTTGCCATAGATTCCAGCCTGCACCCTGTGCCAAGCGCAACCGACACCTTTTACAGGTTTCACACGCCCCAGATTCAGCAGCGCTCAGGGAAATGGTATCTGCTGTCTACTGCAAGGTTTTCTTTCTCAGGCATTTATCCGAGCCCAAAGAGTCTTTTTTCATCAGCATCTGATTTCACCTTCCTTTCTTATATTTCTTCCTCTTGTTTTCTTTCTCAAAAAGTACACGTGTGGAATAGGAATGTGGTCATACTATAATGTAGCCCCTACGGAGCTGGTTAAAGCACTAAAGACCATTGCTGCAGGCTGTATTTGGTCTCGTAGCTGTGTGTGGAGGGGGGCAGGGGAGCATTGTCATTTTCCAGCTTTCATTAAGAAAGGGTGGGAGATTTTTTTGGCAGGGGCGGTACTGGGTTTGAACTCAGCCCTAGGCAGGTGATTTATCACTTGAGCTACCCTCCAGAATGGGACGTTTTGTCTGTGTGCAATCTGCCTTTGCCATCTGATTGACCATCAAATATGACAAAGCAACTCCTCACCTTTGTGGGCAAAATCACCTTGGCCTTGCATTAGCCAAAGTGTGTCAGTGGGCATTCACCATCAGAGGACCTGAGTACAACATTTTCTGCTCTGACTTAGGGAAGGTCAAGACTGCAGGCCCTGTGGCTATGTAGTCTGCACCCTGTCTCTATCAGTCCTGTGACTCCTGGCTGGCTGAGTCAGCACATTCTGCCAGACAGAAAAGGCCAGACTCTGCATGCATAACTCACATGCTAGAAGTGGCTCTCTGCTATTTTTCTTCTGGTGTCACCCACTCAAAACAAACAGTTCCACCTGGATTAGAGTTTGGGGTGTGATAGCTCCAGGCTGGGGTCAGTTCTATCATCTTCACAACAGGGGGTGAGGGAGGACAATTTATTTTGGACAGATACCATCTGTCACCAACTAAGGCGGAGGGAAAGGGGGCCAGGGGTGTCACACAAAGCCCAGTCTCAAGCATGAATAGGGAGGGGGGGAATTATTTTGTTTGTTTTTTTACTGAAGATTTGATTTTTTAGAGAAGACACTGCAGCATTAACTCTTCAGTGACAAAAGGAGAGAGGTGGAAAGAGAGAAGATGCTGATTTTGATGTACCAGACTTCACAGAAGATGTTAGTTGCATAACTGGGAATGTATAAGTCTCTTTCAGTTTTAACTCTCCTCTCCATGTCTAA